ATGTTCGGGTCAATCCTCTTGTCATGCAGTCATGATAGGTGCAGGTGGGCGCGTGGCTTCAAGGGAAAGCTATACCGAGATGCTCACTAAGTTTATTGCCAAGGTTGGTAATGGTGAGTTCCCTCTTTATTTGTTTTTCTGATTTGGGTTGCTGGTTGTGAGGACAGAATCCAAAGGTGTTCAGAATTCATATTATGAATTGAAGCGGAGGTTGGGGTTTATGTCATTATTTAAGTGTAGCAGTGGAGTTGTTGCAGTGTTAATATTCAGTATTCGGGTTGGTCGGGGCTAACATGCTAAGTTGCAGGCATAGACTTGTGACACTTTGTGATTGCTTCAAAGAGGACGTTGAAATTCTTAAGTGGGGGAGGTTTGTTACGGGGTCGGGACCTTGACAAGCCCCCTAACGGTCATGGGATGCTGTCAGCGTGCACTGGTGTTGCCCAGTGGCATTTTCGTAAATATAGAAAAAGTGAAGCTTGGAGTTTTGGCTTGGGATCTTTGTGGGAGATACCTTGAGTCCATAGAAGATGGTTGGCGCAGACGACACTCGATTTGGATGTCGTGCACTTTGAGACATTTATATGTGGGTGCAAATTAGTGGGCTTGGTACGGGCTAAGTTCACAAGGTTGGCTCAGATGTTGCTTAAAGCATGTACCACACAAGTCATGGACGTGTGACATAGTCAAGTCAGGGACATGGGCACAAGGCAGTGGACGTAGGCAAGGCTCAGCGTGTAAGGTTGGCTCAGGGGACTCAGACATGGCTTATGGTTACAAAAGATGGCTAAGTGGACTCATGTGGTTGGGGAAAGTTACACTTCCCACTAAGTGGGCTTAGTTGGTTGGGGGAAGTTACACTTCCCACTAAGTGGGCTTAGTTGGTTGGGGGGAAGTTACTAACACTTCCCAGTAAATGGACTCAGTTGGTTGGGGGAAGTTACACTTCCCACTAAGTGGGCTCAGTTAGTTGGGGGAAGTTACTAACACTTCCCACTCGTGTGCATATATTATGGAGAGTGGGCGTGTGCTGAGTAACTTCCTATGCATGTGGCATAGATCTGAGGGGACAACACACAGGTGGTTAGAGTCGGTTTTCTTCCACTATGCTGATATATAGAAGGTGGCAGATAATGTGTAACTTCCTGTGGCCAAGTGGCATGAGCAAAACGTGCCAACAAGCTAGTAGTTGGGCTTGTCAACTACATATGTAGTGTTGGCACACTTAGTGGGTGCCAACATGACCCTAGGTGGATGGGGGTGTCATCCACCACTTTAGTGGGCGGTTTTGAGAGTTTGCCTATATATTGCTAATGTGGGTTCTGTAGAGAGGGCATATTGAGAGTGAGACACAGAGTTGTGTTATGAGAGACTCTTATATACTTCTGCAGGTTGAGGCCTTTCCTTGTACTGTTTTATGAATAATAGTAAAAGGTTGGAAGCCTTGTGCTTCTGTAAATTCGTGGGTGTTATTTTCTTTACATTCTTGCAACTATACTTGTGTGTGAGAGTGTTTTATTTGTTGTGTGTTTTAGGCAGCAAGTGTGAGTTGACTGAGTTAAGTTAGAAATTCGGAGAAAAGTTGTTCATATTTTTGGTTTAGTGCCATCACAGGGCACTAAATTCGTGTTCAGAATTTACCCCTGTGACAACAATTAATATGAGACGAATGGAGTAATATATAATAATGATATTTTTTGAACTTCCCTTGACACTCCGCATTGTTTTTAAAAAAAGTCATGCACTTCACTTTTAAGGAAATATTGTCATTTGGTATATTAAAAGTTCAAGTAGTGCAATTGGTGTGTATCACCTAGGTTATTTTTTTTTTTTTGGAAACAAACAAACACATGGTATATATTTTATTATTATTAATTTTATTGTATTTTCTTTTTTGACCAACTTAATTGATGTATAACAAAACATTTTTTGTATGTCCTATATCATCAATTTTTCATTTTTCAATGAAGAACTCTTGCATGACACGTCATACACCTAGTACCGCAATCAATGACATAGCCGAAATCTTCCGTTTAAATCATTTTTACAAATTGAGATATTAAAGGTTTTCTATAGAAGTATTTATTATTATTATTATTATTATTATTTTGGGCAATAGTTGAGTTGAGATATTAGAGGAAATTAAAAAAATGTTAGTCAATACGGGTGGATTAGTTGTATAGTGATGAAAATCCGACATGCAACTTGTAGAACAAATTTAAAATCTGAATCAAGAGAACTGTTGGTTTCTTTTACATGCCATGAACTCTCATATATATATATATATATATATATATATATATTTAATTGACTAAATTGTGCTAATTTACAAATAACGAGGATACTCCTTTGGTTGTGTTTCCTCTGTTGTTTTTCTTTTATTGATGTTTTTTTTTGGATTGTTTGTCCGAAAAAAAAAACAAAAAAAAAAAAAACTTACATTAGCAGCTGAAGGATTTAAATGTAGCATTCCAATATATCCACCTAATACAATCTGGACCTTGCCTAATCAGAAATTTGATTCCAAACATCAAAAAGTCTCTTGAGCCATAAAATCGGGTTTATTAATCCTGTGAAATAGCACTAAGTCTCCTTCTTTTTGTTGGGGGGAGAAATTACTAGTAGAATAAGAAAATAACTATTGAGCCCAATTCTTAAGATATCTCAACATTCAAGTTAGTGTTTTTGATATTTGTTTTTGGTAATTTTGTATGTATTTTTAATTATTTTGAATGAAGTCAAGTTTGAAATTATTTCAATTTAGTCATTGGTTTATGGATTCAATTCAAACTCATGAATAGCTAATGAATGAACTCTAGCTCAGTTCGACTTGATTATGAGCTCATCAAATAAATTTTGATAATTTGAAATTAATTTAATGTAATTTTATTATATTTTATTTTCATCAGTATATATAAGTAAAAAACCTACAAGTTCAAAATATTAGAAAGCCTACTATTATTCAAGTTGGGCTTGCGTAGAGAACTTCTATTTATTACTTATATGAATAAAAACAACTTATAATCTGAATCCAATTCATTGGGCCTAGCCTTGTGGTAACGGGCCTTCTTGTTTCATTTTTGGGCTTTCTGAGCCTGTATTATTTTGGTCCATGTACAGGTACATCAAACATTATTCTTCTTCTTCTTCAAAAAAAAAATATTGTGTTTACAATCACCCAATTTATTTTTTTCTATCTTTTAAGTGTGAATACAAACAATTAATACCTCCAAAGTCAAGTCATGCCCTTATCTCTTGACATTAGATCTAAAATTGCTGTCTCCTGCTAACTAAATTTGAAAATTTCAAGGAAGTGAATCCGCATTTTCTTTTCTTTAACAACCGAAAAAAAAATTCACTTTTTCCCCTCATAACAATTGTATTATCTCTATAATTCAGTTAGTTTACACTGATATTTTTCTGAATCTATTAAACGAACCATGATTTAAACCTAAGCTAAACCCTACAAAAAATCGATTGGATTAAGGTTTCGTTGGATATAGGCTCGCGTGCAATTTACATCCCTATGATATCGATATAGTGTGTGTAATCCCCTATGGTTTGTTTATCTCCCCTATGTTTTAAAAATAGTACGAATTAGTACATTTTGGGCATTGACAGCTATTGATCGGTACCGGAGCTACAAAGAGACTAAAATAACCCTCTATTTATGATTTAAAAAAAATAATAATATAACATAAAATGTGAAAAGACTAAAATAACCCTCTATCAATACTCCATCTCTATTATCTCGTTCTCAACTCTTTCTCAACTCTGATTTTGCCCCCCCCCGCCCCCCTCTCTAACTGCACACTCCAAAACCACACAAGAATAAGAAGTTCAAAACCCATATATCTATCTGTCTGCAAGAATCAAAAGCTCAAAGCCAATTAGGAAAAAAAAGTTCAAAACCTATTACCTATCAAAACCCATATCGGCATTCATTTCAGATTGTTTAAAAAATTAAAACCCTTATCTTTCAGTTTCTATTTCAGATTGTTCAAAAAATCAAAACCCATATCTTTCAGTTTCCATCGCCCACTGTTCCAATTCGGGTTTGCCGTTTGCAAGCTTCCGCCACTGTCTTACAACTCTCAAGCCCCCCCCCCCTCTCTCTCTCTCTCTGTGCAACTGCTAACTTGTATGTGTGGGTTTTGTTTTAATTTTTTTTTTTTCTAAATCAACTAGTCAAGGTCTATAATTCTTGTTTTGCAAACTAAATCGTATTTGGTGAAATTTTTTATGATCTTTTTTTATATAATTTGTTTTAGGGCAAATCATTTCAGCCTCCCCAATCGCCTCCATCTCTATTCTCGTTCTCAACTCTGAACTTACCCTCTCTCTCTCTGTAACTGCAAACTACAAAATTTACAAGAATCAGAAGTTCAAAACCCATATATATACCATATACAAATATGGATAATGCTTAATTACTCACCGGTGAATAGCTTCACCCTACTTACCCCTTGTGTGTTCCAATAACAATTTACCACATCAGTTTTAATAATAAAATAATTCACATCCTCCTATATTTTCTCGAATCAACCATTGAATAAACGTGGTTTATTTTTTTTTATTAAATCTGACGTGGTAAATTATTATTGAAACACACAAGAGTGAGTAGAGTGAAGTTACTTACCGGTAAGTAGCTAAGCATTATCCTGCAAATATATATATATATATATATATATATATATATATTTCGGAATAAAGGGTTTAAAATAATCACGTGCCATTATTGAAACACACAAGAGTGAGTAGAGTGAAGTTACTTACCGGTAAGTAGTTAAGCATTATCCTGCAAATATATATATATATATTTAGGAATAAAGGGTTTAAAATAATCACGTGCCATGCACATCATCAACTGGCGTCCAAATCTCCCCGAAATAATTACCGGAGGTGGCTTAATTGCACATTTTTATATCTAGTAGTAATTTATATAAATAAATCTAATTAAAGAGGCTAAGTCGCACAAATTTGTGTTTTTTAGACTTTCCCCTTAATATAAAAAGAGCGACAACCCTAGAGATATTACACACTACTTGATCTTATCCGAGCGGTGATGGATTTGTGGAGGCGGGGATGAGAGAGAGTCACCCACCGCCTTTTACAGGGTGGCCGATGGCGGCTACGCTCTTTAACCACCACTTACGCCTCCCCATCTTACACTGCGATGAAGACTGCCCGCAGTCATAGCCCTCCTTAATTTCATTGATTCATCGAATCAATGAATTGGGCGATGATGGCCAAGCGGGCTATTCCCATCCAACTCAAAAAAACTCACAATTTCGATTCTTTTTGTTTGATATTTTTATTTATTATTTTTTTGATTAATACACTTCTAGTGTTTGTATAAGTTATGATGCAGATAACATTCAAATAAAAAAATCTCGGAAGCATTCTCAAAAATCAGAATGAATAGTATGTGGTTCGGTCTCAGAACTTTGTTAGAAGGGTTAGTCTCTACTTACTCTTCATTGATATGCTCTACAATCTAAGCTTCTTTTATTTATTTTGTTTTACTTTTTTTTTTTTTTTGGGGGGGGGGGGGGGGGGGGGTGTTAATGATTCAAATAACATTATGTGATGCAAAACCCCTCTCAGTGCATGATTTTATATGTAAGTAAACATCCATAAAAAAATAACAGGAAGCAAATCATCTAAGGGGGACTAGTAAACATCCATAAAAAAATAACAGGAAGCAAATCATGTAAGGGGGACTAGTAATTATATATAGATATGGATATAATTATACACACATGCCCTAACTCTATATTACAAAAAGTAAGCTTGCAGCAAATCATTCAATTGTATAACAATTAACAAGACTAACCCGTTAAGATCATAAGACCTACATATGTGTGTGTAATTATGTGGGTACTTAGAACTTTCTTTAGAGTTGATACTCGTTGATTGATTTGATCCGAAGACTACTAAGTTACCCTTCTAGGTCTTAGAACCTTCTTTAGGGTTGGTGTTATTTATACTCTTGATTGGTTTGCTCTGAAGACCACTAAGTTGTCCTGCAAGTTCGGTTTCGGTAAATTAGAGTTAGGGCAGGATGTGGTATCTGTGTATGTATGTGCATGTTATAATTATACATATTTTCTTGGTACTTTCTTAAGGGTTGGCAACTTGTATATAAATTCATGCACTCACAGTAGGGAAGTCATTTGTTGTTTAAGTTGGTTTTATACAATAACTCTATTGGGTGTTCAGAGCTTAAGTGTTTCTGTGAATTAGTCACTTATTTGTATATGTTGAATGTATGTATAAGATTTATATCAATTTAAATCTCAATATGCATAACCTTTCATAATGTCAACCATGCAATTTGCACAACATATATAAAAACCCTTGTTACCTGGTGTAGTCTACTATTCTCTTGATTAATTCTCAGGATATTGGGAGATGACAAAATTCTGTTAGGAGGATATGCAGATATGAGATTCCTGGAGTGGTTGGTTCAATTTTTTAGTTACTCTAGTTAATTCTTATGGTACATATTTACTGATTCATGGCATTGACTTCCTACGCATCTACCCCTTAATCCTGAGTACGTTGTCCCAAATTAAGGTTTTCACTACTGCTGATCTATCTGGGACTTCTTGGCCTGCATCTACCCCTTATTCCCGAGTACTGTGTTACGCTGTCCCAAATTAAGGTGTCTTCACTACTGCTGATCTATGTGGGACTTCTTGGCCTATGGTTGAATGTTATGTTTCAACTTTCAACTACTTAATGTATGCTTGAATGTTATGTTTCAACTTTCAAGGACTTAACTTATATGTAAGTAAATTAATCGCTTTCAGCTTTATTTCTATGATTAATTCAATTTGCATCATTATTCATTGTTGATCTGGATTCAAACTTTAACTGGCAATTTCACTGGAAGTATGTCAATTTTGGAATTGGTTTATGTAGATATAATTGCCAAGATATGACCTTTTTTCTGCAGATAATTACATGATACCATCTGAGTCATATGACCATGGCATGCCTTTGGATGGTCAAAGGCAGATGATCAGTTCATTGGTGGTTGAAGTTCATAACTATCTTCTCAAACAAATGCAGCCCAGAAGAGTTGCTTGCTCATTTTAGAAGACTCACACGTGCGCATGGCAAGTTTTGGCCTTCTAGAACTTTCCTTGATTTGTTTTTCAAATAGTATTGATATGCTTCAAGTTGAGTTAGGCTATGACGATGCATGTTCCTGGATTACATCCAATGAGAAATCCTCTACCTTCTTCTGGAATCCAATTTACTGTGTTTTAGATACTCATTTGAAGTCTTCTTGTTACTATGGAAGAATGAGAAGCAATTACTCTGAAAATATGTCACTGGAAGTGCAAGTTTCATATAGTTAGAAAATTTGATATCACAATGTAATGTGGAAAAGAAGTCATTTGGTTTTAAAATGCACTCTTAGCTATGCTTGGGGGAATTATTATTGGAATTCACATCTTTCAATTTGAACTAATTTTTCTTCAATGGTTCTAACCTTATGTACTAAAAATCACTCACATTATATGATTTAATAAATTGCCTATTCATAGGTTTAAAAAGGAGGTAAGGGTGTTTTAGGGATATTATAACTTAAAATAGTCATCTGCAACCCACTTCTTCTTAAAGGTCTAAGATGTCATTTTCTGACAGATAAAAGACATTAAGCCCTTCTTTGCAACATTGTTTCAAACAATAGTGGTGTTATTTGCACAAAATGTAGATATTAGGGGTGTTTTTTTTTTCAATTTGTCATGCTTTACCATTCAATGCATTCATGTAAAACAGCAGCAGAATATACACAAATAATTAATTATAATAAATAAAGATTGAAGGATAAATCTTTGCTCAAAACATATCAATAACAAATTTTTTCATTAAAAGATTTTCCGACATAAAAGAAAACAGTCTTCAATCTCCTCTTTAACAATGAATTACCCTTTAAATTCGCTGTAGGTCTGACAGAGACCCTCTTCACAAACCACACCAACCCTTCAATGGTGTGCGTGTGATTTAGCTAAATACTAAAGGCACAACAACAATCACATACACACCCAAAAGGGACAAAAAGGAGTACAAAAGATGGTCCAAACCATCCAACCAGGGCCATTTTAAAAGTGCCCATCTTGATGTAACAGTAGTCACTATATTACACACACTACTAATACACTATATCTTACATATACCATATGTAATTAGTTGAAGAGGCTAGAAAGGGCTGATAATATTAAAAGTTGTGTTTGTAAGTGACTTTTGAAATTTGTTTTGGTTAGTTTTAGATAAGCACATGAATGAGTTAGAACTCAGAACTGTCCACCAGTGAAGGTTTGGCCGAAACCCCAGTTTGTAGGAGCCGCGTTGGTGGAGGTTATGGAGCTTCCATCACTTGTTGTGACCTTGAAAGAGAGGGATTGACCATTAAGGTAGGTGTTGCTTTGCCAGTTTTGGCCCCAATTGCGAGACATTTGTTGCCAACCAGTTTTAGAGCCTTTGATGGAGACAGAGACAACATCACCAGCACCACCAACATTGGTTACGAGGACAAGATTGAAGTATGAGTGGCCATTGATTGTGAATCTGATTCCACTACTCTTCCTACACGCAACTCTGCAAGTTGAAAAATGGAACAAATAAAATTCAGATTTGAATTGAAGGATTTAACCCAGCTGAACATCGGGGCTGGTAAACAAGTCCTAGAAAAGACTCGAGCTTAACTCGTTAGTTTAATGACCGAATACAAAAAAAAATTCAAATGAACAGAGCGCAAACTGTTCATGAACAACTTGATTCGTTTGTAGCTGTATAAAAGTCGAGTTAAGAGTAGAGGGGGGGTTAAGTTGAGGCTTTTGTTGGCAAACCATGAAAAACGTTGTTAAGTATATATATTGGAGTTGGAATTTGTGAACTTTTGAGGCAGCAAAAAGAAAAGGTTTTGACTATAGTGTTTCCTAGCTGAGAGGCAATTACTATGAAAATCTTGAAAGTTGAAAATGAGTGTCTATGAGGAAGTTTTAGATGTTTAGATGATTAAAGAGCAGTATAATATAGAATTTGGGAAAATGTTGAGAGAGAGAGAGAGAGGAGAGATCTTGACTAAGGTCTTTATAGTATATAGTGAAACCTTGGGAAATTGTTACATTGGAGTTGGGTTTTAGAACTTCGAGGAGCCCAAAAGAGAGCTAGGGAGGTTATGGCCAATTGATTTACTAATTGAGAAGCACTGAAAAATATGTTGACCAGCTACTGGGAAAATATGGTGATAGAAACATAGCTACTTAGACAAAGAGGGCACATATGCTTACCTTCTATACTGAACTGGGACTATCCCTGCTTTATACTGGGCTATGTGTTGAAAAATTGGCTGAGAAAGATCAAAGTGCTTCAGAGGAGGATTGCACCACCCTCCTGCATTGTTGGGCAGAGCACTGTTTGGAGGGCAGAAGTTTGTCGCTGTAACCACGATCGACCCGGAGAGACACCACTTGCCATCATTGACGCATTTGATCTCAAAACAAGCTCCACAAGTCAGCCCACTATTGAAAAGGGCAGTACTAAGTGCAGCTGTGTTTGTCCCATAACCTTGGCTGTAGAGATTTCCATATCCACAAGCTCCTCCTATAAAAATCCAATGTTATGACAATGATTTTTAGAAAAAGAGAACAAAAAGGAAAGAGGGTTGTGGTTCTCACCCATTGTACCAGATGCATCACTGCCTCCATAGAATGTAGCATGGGCATTGGACCACTGGCCACCAATGCCATGAACTCTTTTCAACATGGCTAGAGAAAGTACCAAGAAAAAACCAAGAAAATCCATTTCCTACAGATCAAAGAAAACCATTTTGAGAAATCAATGATTCAATTCAAAGGTCGATAGAGTAACAAAATCACAAGAAAGCTGGGCAGTGAAGCGTAAAAGAGAATCAAAGAGTTTCTACTTACAGTGGCTGAAGTCTGACCCTCTGACACTAACTTGGACTAGAGCAGAGGAAAAGAAGGTAAGGAAGACATGGGGGAATGAGACTGTATTTATAGAAGTGAAGTGAGTGGAGGTATGGAGGTACAATTAAATAAATGACTGAGATTTGGACTTCAGAAAAGTCATTAAGTCACCATCTTATAACTTGTAAAATGTTCAAGAAAGCATAACGTCACATGCTTTTGAAAATTAAATTAAAGACGAGCCAAAAACAATAACCACGAAACTAAACATATAATATGAAAAAGAAAAAAAATTCAAATTAGGTCTTAGCTCATCACTTAGCTCAGCCACAAAGCCTCACCCTTCAGCTAGACTTCTTATTCTGTTTAGAATTGCAGAATATGTTCTGTTAAATTATATATTTAAAAATTTAAAAAAGTCATAAGCATAAGGTCTCAAAAATGTTAGAATAAGCATTTATCAAGAAGACCTTATTGTAGTATTGTCATCAACAAAGCACATTCTTGTGCTGCAATAAGAATAGAATCAGATAGGGTCTTCGTCAACTGCAATATATACCAGAGTGCATTGAACATCTAATTCTGGTGTACTTTTACTAACAATCAATATAACAAATTTATGGGTACTTGGTCAATTAGGGTAAACAAAATTAATCACCACACTACCCTGCTGGATCTCATCGGTCCGAGGGATTGACTATTTGAGCAAGCAGCATATTTTAGTGTTTATGAAGGAAAGAATTTAATGCAATCATCTTAAATGATTTCGTAGGAGATAGTTTAATGCAACCATTGTAGAACAAACACTAGGAATTTGATGCCCAGACCATGCACATGGGATGGTGGTGGAACAAATAGCATTGACATTTAGTACCAAATGGCAGTCCACTTGGGAATTCATTCTCTCTCTCTCTCTCTATATATATATATATATTATACATTAGTGAAAGAACAATCCCCATTAAGAAACTAGATTAACAAGCAAGCTTCTCTGCAGAAAATTCATGATCTGGAAAAAAATTATGATCCGATGGAAGTGCTACGCATGTGGCAAACCGACCACTTACGAAAAGATTTATGATCATGTACTAACATCTTTGCATCAATCTAATTTCGTTTTTTTTTTTTTTTTTGATCTTTCTTTTCTTTTCTTTTTATCAATCTTAGCTGTGTCCACCTGACCATTCTTTATAATAACATGCTGCAACCCCTCTAAAGAGGGGCATAGTTTCTTATCTTTACAGCTTATCTGAACTGGGATAACAAGAGGAGTAATTATTAAGTTGATTAGTTCAGTGAGCATAATAATGAATTGTAAAGATGCTATGACCTTGTGAATATATTCTTTTTAGATTACTGGAATTATCTAAATGGTTTGTTTTTGTGCTTTGAACTGATTAATTACTTAAATTTCCTAAAAAATTGCACTACCAATATTGTGAGAATTCTATATTACCTACTTTTTTGATTCATCAATGGACATGAATATTCTTCTGGACACTCCAAAAGTTTCAACAGGTTCTGAGGCTCAGATACTTGAATTTAGAACAACTATTGCCAATAATTAAACTGTCAGGTATGCTTCTCTCATTTGATGACATTAAAGTTCTTTTTTATGCTTTTGCTTTGTTCATCTTCTTTTTTTCTTTCTGAGTATTGGATAAGGTTTTCTGTTGGGTAGACTATATTTAATTTCATATTAATCTTGAATTATATAAAAAAATACTAAAGATAATGTCAAAAAGACAGAAAAAAAAAAGAAAAAAAGAAAAAAAGAAAAAAGCCAAACAGACGCTATATTTGTGATATCAACTAGTATGAGTATGACAAATTGCTAAGCCACAAAACTGGTTGTTGCACTGAAGATTATAACCGCTCAACTTCGACCCAATGCACTATCTAATTATTTATTGGTTAGGTTGCTTCATGTCCAAAAATGTAACTTCATTTTATTTTTTTGTCCACAATGGTGGCGTCAGATCTCTTAGAGCAACTCATAATCTGTTATGGGACATATGCAATCCTCCGTCCCACTTGCACCGAACAATTATCGAAAAATTCTCAGGATTTTTAAGTGTTGAAAAGCCTATGCACAGAAAAGATTTTAAGTTTGGGATTTTTAATCATCAAAACTTAGAAAGCTGTAAGGATTTTATGCTTTTTGATCATTAATTTATTTGGTTCCAACAATATTCAGAACATAAAAGCTCCCTTTTGGCCTCAAAGAAAGTGATAACCCACAAAAGAACTGTGGTGTAAAAGAAGTCATATTACAATTGAAAGCAATGCTCAACTCTAAAATAACAAGTTGCACATGGGATCACATGGCCAGTTGTGAATAGTTATCCTATTGCAACAGGATAAAAAAGAAAAAGCGTATTTGCCTAAGTGAATAGCCTCTGTGCATTCAATTTGCCTCTACAATATATTTATCCTAGATACAAAACTCGTCATGATTGTTGTGAATCATGAAGAAATAGTAGAACCACATGCATGCTTGTAGCAACCATTAGCTTTGCAGTACCGACTGCAGTATCGTGTAAAGTCACTGTGGACTCAAACGAATATCGGTGTTAATTGGCTAAGCTAACCGTATCGAACTTTTGAAAAAGAGTTATAAACCGGCCGATATAGCAAATCATGCCACCAGTTCAAATTATGGGATCCGCGAATACAGCGAATCATGCCACCCGCTCAAATTATGGGAAGCTCTTGGTATCGGCTACGGTATCGTTCACGGTCACTGTGGACTCGATCGAATATCGATGTAAATTGACTGAACTAATCAGTTCATAGAGATATGTAACCGTTTCGAACTCTTAAAATAGAGTTATGAACCGACCGATACAGCGAACCATGCCACTAGCTCAAATTATGGGATCCGTCAATACAGCTAACCATGCCACCAACTCAAATTATGGAAAGCTCTTGCATTAGCCACATGAGAGAGTTGGGGTCAGCATGCTTATTTTTTTGCCTTGGGCACATCACCACATGAACAAATTATGCAATAATGGGAATCCTAGAAATAGTGGCATGCATGCATTAAAATGGATATGCACCACAGAAGTAGCATATATACAGGCGAGTCTCATTTATAACATCAAGTTTGAGAGTGCAAAGCGCATAAGTGAGCGTAAGAGAGTACCAAAGTGATTAAGTGCGTCGAGTGTTGACACAAGCGAGTGTGGGAATTAGACTAAGCACGTCTCGTCACACAATGGTGGCTAGAGTACACAGTAAGAAAATTCTATTACAAAGTTTTATGATCGAGGGTTTTCATTGAATTAGTTCATCAAATATCAAATAGATTAGGACCATCTAATAATTTTTCAAACCTTCTAGATCCGTGACAATGAGCAACACATATATTCCGAGTGCACCACGTAGCTCAGCTCTCAGCAAAGAGGGGAATCAGGTCATCTTTCAAGAGGATGGCAAGCAATATAAAAGGGAATCAGCTACGGGGGAATCAAGTCAGCTCTTCAATAGGATGGCAAGCATATATAAATATTGTTGTCCCTTTCTATTTATTTATTTATTTTTTTTTTTGGGCAAAGCAAACAGAAGTTTGAACTGGAACTCCAAAAGCAACAGTGGAAGACTCTAGAATTAAGAGTTATTGGATGTGGAGGAATTTTTTTATTTTTATTTTTATGTACCATCAATTTTGATAAATGAGATTATTATAAATTTGTTTGTTTCGACGTAAAATATTAAAATATATTTTTTCTTTTCTCTTTTTCTGTGTTTGCCAAAAATTTACGTCGAGGTTGAGGTCGAGTCCATCGAGCGAGATACACATTGGATGTGGAGGAATTTATTTTTTTATTTTTATGTACCATCAATTTTGATAAATGAGATTATTATAAATTTGTTTGTTTCGACGTAAAATATTAAATTTTATTTTTTATTTTTTCTTTTTCTGTGTTTGCCAAAAATTTATGTTGAGGTTGAGGTCGAGTCATCTAGCGAAGCACGTAAAATAACTTGTCGAAAATTGATAGATAAGTTATTTTTGTTAAATTTTAATATTTTTTTATTTCGTAAATATTTTATTACAACCAAATACCAGAAAATAAAAAAAAAATTCTGAAAAATATTTTAATGGAGCAATGATAATATTAATTATGGGTATTGGCCTGTACCAAAATAGAATTTTAGAAAAAAAAAAAAAAAAAAAAAAAAAAAACTTAATGATAACATTAATTAAGGGAATTCGTGAGAGCCAAAATAAAATTTTAGAACAAAAAGATAGATGGTTGTTTTCCGCTTTCAGTTTACAATTAGTTCCTATAAATTCAATTTAGGGTAAATTACACCTAGACCCCTTGAGGTTAGGTCATATTTCAGCCAGATGAAGATTTTGGTTTTAACTTTCACTTACACCCCAATTTACTTTTTGACTTCTGATACATGTGAATTGACCATTTTACCCTCAATTTTTTAATACAATATATATATATATATATATATATATATATATATAATCTTAAATGACAAAAAACCCATATTATATATATATGTGTGGGTGTATATATATATATATTCAAAACCTATATATATATATATGTCACCTATATATATATATCTGTGGGTGTATATATATATATATATATATATATATATTTAACACCGGCAGCTCCCACCATTAACAACACCTCCATCACCACCAACGTCCTACCCTAACACCTGCACCACCAACCCACCCAAAACCAAACTACACCCCCACCCAACACCTCATCACCACCACCCACCTAAAACCAAACCCAAAAATACACAAAATCCCATCCCATCCATTGCCGAAATGGACGTCGATGACAGAATCGAGGGCGAAGTCGATTGTTGAAGACGACGTTGAAGAGCAAGTTGATATCGGCGGCGGGTGTCGGATTACAACCTCCACAGTGGCCCAATCAATATATCTCGGCAGTGAGACATCGGATTACAAGCTTACAGCCTCGACGACATCGTAATCGGCGGCAAAAATCCTCATCTCTTGCTCCGGCGGGAGGGTTTGTGAGAAGGGAGAAAATTAATGAGGTAGCTACAGTCGCGTATCTGTGTGGAGAGAGGTAGCTACAGTCGCGGCGGCGGTGAAAGAGGTCGTGGTGGAGGTGGTCGCTATGGCGGCAGGAGAGACGATGGGATCAATTCGCCGATGACGACGATTTG